TTAGACTTGTTCCCCCAACCTCACGCCTGTACTCTGGAAGTTGCCAAGCCATGGCAGCTCTTCTTGCCTCTCCTGAGGTCTCACGGAGGAACACAGGGGTTTTACTTACAAAGGCTTTTCCCGAGACCTTTCCTAAGGCTACCTACTCACACAACAATTCATGTTCCTCAGATTAGAGGATGTTAGTGAAAATGGTGGGTATTTTGACTCATCTTTTCTCAATGCTCCTTTTGGGCATGGGGCACCATTATCCTCTGTTACTTTCCTCGGCTACCACATTTTAAGGTTTATAAAAAGAATTTGCGAGTTTGGTTGGACTTGAGTTTGTAGCAGCATTTTTGTTTTGGTTTGGGCGTTTGTTCCTTTTGTTAGTCGGGGGTAGGATGGAGTAGAGTGATTACGAGACGGCTTCACTTTGCCTCCTAACCCAGAGATCCCACCCTTGCCTTGTCCATAGTTCTCCCCTCAGACCCCTCCTTTGGGCAAGAACCTAGCAGCCCCTAGCACTTTCAAATCCCTGGAGTGAAATAGGGGCCCATAGGACTAGGCCTTAGTACAAAGTGGGTGTTCAGCCCACGGTAGAGGAGTGAAAAGGGGGCAGCATCAGAGGGACCTCAGTACTTGACAAGAGAGCATCCAGGCAGGGCATGGTGTGTGAACCAAGGCATGGAAGTAGGGCAGACAGGAACAATGATTGGGGAATGGGGGAGGGGGCGGGGGCGGGCAGGGGTGGTATCTAGCTGGAGGAATGCCAGCTGAAGGGGGCAGGAGGAGAGAGGCTGGAGAGTAGGGAAGGCAGGGCCTAGGCATGCAGTCTGGTCTGGGGGCTGCCCCTGTGTGTGACCAAAGCACTTAGCTCTTGGACTCTCAGGGAATATTATAGAAAGCCAGGGTAGGTACAAGTAGCCTAGTTCCTGCCTCTCCTCATCTCAGCCCCTCCCAAGGAAACTTCTCTGCCCCACTTATATTGCCTCCCTGTCCTTGGGTCCCAAGGATGCCTTTGCTCTCTTCCCTATAGCCACAGGTAAGGCCTCAGCCATGGCCACACTAGACACCATCACAAGCTACATGCTAACATACCACAGACGTGCCCCTGGTCACCTAGTCACACGAAACCATAACTGTGGTTGTATACCACCACCACAAACTGGCAGATGATGGCCCAGTGATGCATGATACTGAAGGTACACTTTGCACACAGCTCCGCACTGTCGGGCTCCCCTCTGGGGCCTTTGCCTCTGATTCTCCTGAGAGCTTGCTCTGCCCCCTGGCGGCCACTCCCATAGCCACTGCCCTTCTGGAAGGACCCTATTATCCACTCCCTTACGGGCCTGGTTCCTGCCCAAAGAAGCTTCCAGCCTTAAACAGCCTCTCCCCTCAGACTGGCACTGTCAAACCAGGCCCCTTCAGATCCACTCGCCCACAGATCGACTTTCCCATCAGACCAGCACTGTTAGGCAAGGCCTTCTCAAATAGGGTTACCAAGAGTCCCAGTTTGCCTGGGACTGAGGAATTGCCCAGGACTTGAGATATTCAGTGCTAAAACTGACAGTCCCAGGCAAACTAGGAGTAGTTGGTGATCCTGTTCTCAGACCTGTGTGCCTTCAGAGTGGTCTTTCCTCAGACTGGACCCTTCCGAAGCTCTCTCGATTAATCTACCCCCTCTCAGACTGGCCCTTCCAACTGAGATCTCTATAGTAGCATGTCCCAGACCAGCCTCCCCTCAGACTAATCCTTTCACACTGGCTCACTCACCTTCAGGTTAGCCCTTCCCCATTAGAGTACCCCTGTCAGAAAAGTTCTCCAGTCTCTCCTCATGCTGGCTCCATCAGACTCCCCTCCTCAGACCTCCTTCCTCTCTGCCCTCCTCTGAGGAGAGGGAAGGGTGTGAGGATTACACCCCAATCTTTTCTGCCCCCCAAGCACTCCATTCTTTCCATGTAAGATGAACTTCCCCAGAGTCCAGTCTAGGGAGTTAGTGAGCTCACCCAGTGGCTCTGGGGAGGTCACAGGGCCAGAGGCTGCCCCAGGATTCCTGCCTACTGTCTCCAGATCACCTTCCTCTCTCCTGGCTGGCTGCTGGAAGATGTGGGGTGTGTCAGCTATCAGCCGCCTGCCCTGGAGCAGGAATGAAGGGCAGGCAGGTGGCCGAGAGGGGGCAGCAGAAGCCAGGACAGGCCCTAGCTCAGGCCAAAGAGGCACTGTGGCCACAGGCTGGGGTCTGGACCAGGGCAGGAACACAAAGAGGGAGGCAAAGAGAGCGAAGGGCTGACAGAGTCAGGAAAGAGGAACAGAGACACAGAGATGGGGTGGAGATCCATGAAGAGCCAGAGAGACACAAAGAGACTGAGATGGGGGTAGACACACAGAGACAGGGAGGAAGACAGAAAAGGGAAGACTGAGAGACAGGGAGGAGACAGAGAGAGACAAACAGGGATGGAGACAGAGACAGGAGTTAGAGACATACACGGGAAAGGAGACAGGATAGAGACATAAGAGAAACACAGAATAGGAACCAGGACAAAGACAAGTTCAGGGATAGGAAGGGGACAGAGACTGATGGAAATGGGTTCAGTGAGAAGAGGATGGGGGCAGAGACAAGTCAGCCTTATAAGAATGGGGCATATAAGAAGGTCCCCATCTCCAATGCCCCTTGGGGGAGCAAAGAGACCTAGTGAGCTGAAAGGCTGAGCCACCATACACATTGGGCCTGGGATCCAAGCCTCCCCTGGCAGCCCCCCTCAGCAGTTTTCATTCTCTGGGATCTGATTTAGCTTTAAGAATTGATGTCTATACTTACCCCAGCTCCCCAGAACCACCATGGGAAATAATGACGCGGAGGGACAATACTTGGAGGCAGCAGCAGACAGCACTCTAAGACCCTCCAAAGCGAGCAGCCTCTGTGAGGTTGAGGGCCAAGACTCCCAAAGAGGAATGACCACCCCCAGGCCCAGGCCCGTCAGAGGCAAGGACACTGGCCCTCCAGCCACTTTGGCACTTAGGACAGGGCTGGGTCTCTCTCTCTTGAGGTTGGGGGCAGGGAGATGCCGCAGGCCTCTCCGTTGGCCTCTGAGGCACCAGCAGGCCCCCTCCCCTCTTTCTCCTCCCCAGACCCCACATAATTGCTTTCCCATGTTGCTAATGGAGGCCAGATTGCTGATGCCCAAGCCCTGGGTGGGCGGTGGGTGGGTCAGGGCTGACCAAGGCTCTCAAGGCAGGAAAGCAGCACAGGCTGGAGACCTCTGAGCTTTAGCCCCACTACCACAAAGACAGGGAAGGGGGAGGCTCAGACCCACCCCAGGAATACAATGTCCTTGGCAAGAGTTGGTGCCGCCTGCTCTGTCCACCCCTGCTGAACCTGGAATACAGGTTCAGGCTCAAGCCACATCTCACAGAAACCAGACAAACAGGCAAATCAGGGGTCCAGGGTCCAGAGGTAGGTCCACAGCCACTGCTCCGTATGTCCAATCTTGGGAGCCTCTTCCTGGAATGAGGAGTCATGCATTCCCCTAGCTGGGGCTACTCAGCTTGAAAAGCCACAGGCCCCTCTACCCTGACATCAGGCCTTTTGTTTTCCATGAGATCTCCCACCTGGAACACCCCCTCTCCTCCTGTAATGCCTGGCCTGGAAGAGAGCCTTCCCTCTGAGCCCCTCACCCAGCCCCAAGCCCTGTCCAGGCCTAACTCATCAGTGCTTGAGGCAACATGGATCCCTCCTCCCAGGGGCACAATCCCAGGCAGGCCTGGTGAGACCAGCAAGGAATGTCCATTTTCTGACCCTGGTCTGAAGAAAAGGGTTTGAGTTGGGGTGTGTGTGTGTGTGTGTGTGTGATCACGGGATGAGTGGCTTAGTGGAGGTGTGGCACTCGGCACCTGCTGTGGGGAGTGTTCGCGCAAGTCAGTGTATTTGTGCCTCTGACTTCATCTCTCTCTCATCCCAGCCACTCAGAGCAAGGCCAAGCCTGGCTCCCCAGGTTGGGGTTCTGGTCTAATCCTTTGCTCCCTCCCCCAGGCCAGAGGTACCTGCCAACGTGGCCCCAGCCCTAGGCATCCTCAGCTAAGGAGCTGCAGTGTCCCCCCACTGTGGTAGAAGGTGCAGTGGCTTCTACAAGGGGGCTGGACCTGAGCAGGCGTGGGGCAGCCACAAGCCCCTCCTCTGAGGAGAAACCAAAGGGACCTTGGAATCCCAGTTTGAGGACTGGAAGGGTGTGGGCAGGGTACAGAACTAGACCAAAGACTGGGTACTCTGGAAAACCAAAGCCTGCTCTTCTGCTCACACTGAGTCTCGACTGTAATCTAACCCTGGGGGTAAATCTTGTTTCACATTTCCAGTCCTGCAACACAGGCCCAATCCCTAGTCAGGTACCAAGTGGCCTCCTTCACGCAGCCTCCCGCCCTGCCCAGGCCCAGTACGCTCTGCACTCTGAGCCTTGTAGCCTAGCTGAGCCCCAGGCCTGACCTCCTAGAGCCCCTGAACTGTGTCTGAACTGCATGACGGGGATGACAACCCCCCGTACCCCAAAGATGAAGTCTGGCCTCCTCACCTTCTTGCATCTCTGCCCCTATGGGTAAAGCCTAGGCTTTCCTGGAAGGCAGCTCTGGAGATGACTCTTGACAGGCCTACCCCTGTCAGGATTCAATAGCCTCCAGGACTGACTGGACGTCCCCATGTGGGACCTGCCTCACTGGGACCCCTCATTCCCCACAGCTCTGCCCCTGGCCTCCAGGGAGCCTTCTCCTCCAAAGAAGCAGACAGCCCCACCCCCAGACACATCTGCCTGAGAGCTATACTGCGTCTCCCCATCTATATGGAGAGAGTTGTCTCTCTCCAACTAGAATTTCTTCCCTCTTCCAGGGCTAGAAGGGGAGGGATCCTTGGAAGAAGGATACCCTCCCAAAGTGGGTCTGTTCCAAGGACTCATGAAATGGTGACGTTTAATGAGAACCCCCCACCCTCCCACCCCTGTATATACATCTATAAAAAATTCAAATACAGCAAGTTACCATTGAGTCAGACTAGAAGGGACTGACAGGGCATTAAATACTGTGGGGTGGGAGCAGGGAAAGGGGAGGGTCGTACAAAACGGGGACAGGTGGGGGAGTGAAAAGTGTGGGCGCTGGGGGGAGGGGGACGGCTGGGCCCCCCCAGCATCAGGAGCTTATAATCTGATGGTGGCAACAGAGACCCTGGGACAGACAGGAGGCTGGGGCAGGAGAAATTATGGATGTGAGGGGCTCCCCTCAGACCCCCCCAAGGGCTCTTGGGAGTGGCTGGCATTGGAGGGTCCAGCCCGAGGGGCCAGGGTGGGGGTGGGGGGTCTTTGGTGGGTGGGTTAGCTGCAGGGTCCTCCTCTCCTGAGGGCAGGAGGAGAGCCAGCATGGTGTGGCAGGGCTAGGGGGCGGCAGGGCCGGGCCTGCCGGGGTCTCTACAAATTATGTTTGAAGAGAATGCAGAAGGTCCTCCCGCCCGTGTGCAAAATAGAAGCTGGGGTCTGCGGGCTCAGCTCCGGCCTCCTGGTCCTCTGCAGGTGCGCTGGCATGTCCTCACGGGGTGCCGGGCTCTAGGGAAACAGGGCAGGGGGCTGTAAGGGACGGCGGCGGGTGGGGGTCCCCTTGGGCTCCCGTCTGCCACCCCGCCTCACTTGATTTACCAGATCAGGAGACTGTTGGCAGTGGCGGCAGCAGCCAGGGCCAGAGTTATGGGGACACCGATCACGAAGGGTGCTGAGGGTCCTCCGCCGCTGCCCAGCTCCCCAGGGTCACAAATCTTCGTGGTGGGTGGAGGTGCCAGTGAGCTGGTGGTGCTGGTCGTGGTCTCTGGGGAACATGGGGGGGATCCCACTCAGGGCAGGGCCAGGGCTGCAGTCAACCCAGATCTGGGGGGTTCATGAGGCACACTGTTCCTGCTCTGTGTTAGACCAGTACTGCCTCCCCCATCAGACAGCCCCTGCTTCCTCTCTCAGACGTGTCCTGCCTCCCCCATCAGGCAGATACTGCTTCCCCATGGCTCACAGATGACCCCTCCACCCCACGGCCCCTACCAAAAATGTCCAGACAGCAAGGACAAGGCACAGCTTGGTCAGGACAGACAGACAGGAGTGTGGCGGCCACAGAGGCTCTAAGGCTCTGAGTCCTGGGAGGGGTGGGAAGGCGCAAGATAGAGCCAGGTAACAGCGCAGGCCCACTGAGAGAACGGTGGAAGGGGGGGGGAGGGGCTCACCCGGGGCCTGGGCCTCAGTGGTGAGGTGTCGTGGCTCCTCAGTCCAGGGTGTGGCATGAGCGGCCACGCTCCAGTCACTCCACGTCCCAATCTCATTGTCCTTGGCCGCCACCTGGATGATGTACTCCTTCCCGGCATAGGCATCCGTGATGGTGTGCGCTGTGCCGTCTGACAGCTCCACCTGCAGCCAGACCGCGGGATGGGGGTGGCGCCCGGGGGTCAGGAGAGTGAGCACCCCCAGAGGAACTGAGAACACTGCCGGGGAGAGAAGAGTGAAGACCACCCCCCCGGAGGAAAAGAGAGCTTCCTGGGGGGAGAGAGAGGATATTGAGAATATTCCTGAAGGAGGGTAAAGACACCTCGGGGAGGAGACCCCAAGGGAGGGAAGAGGATCTTGAAGGAGAGTAAGAAAATCTTCCGGAGACCGGAAGCACCCCCGGGGAGCAGGAGGACTGTGCTCAGTGTCTCACTCTGCTGTCATCCCAGCTCCCTCACAGTGCCCAGCCTGAGCCCTGATCTCAGTCCCTCCCTGGAGGTGACAAGAGTAACAGGGTAAGAGAGGAGATGGTGATGTGCTCAGAAGGAAGGTTATAAATACAGACGTGGAGCTAGGCTGCCTCAGTCCAGGTTTTAGCTCCATCCCCTCTCAGCCGGCTGACCAAGTTCCTTAACCTCCAAATGCCTTGCTGTCCTGATCTGGAAAATGGTATTAATGATCTATCTCACAGGAGTATAATGAGGACTCAGGCACATGGGAAGCAACAAACACACTTCAGCCAGCTCTGTCATCATCAGAGCCTGGCTTCCCAGATGCCCAGTGCACCCACCAGCCTAGCCCCCGTTGAGTCTCCCACTCAGGAAGGCCTCAGTGTGGTTATCACCCTGCCCGAGGCAGAAGAGGGTGGGGGCGGGGGCAGCTCCCAAGCAGCAGAACAGCAGGACAGCAGGACAGCAGGACAGCTGTTCCGTTTCCTCCTGGAGGCATCGCCACCCCACCCCCGCCCAGGTCAGCCCTATTCTGCTGGTCTCCCCCACCCTTCAGGCTGGCCTGCCTGTCCAGCGCCCCTCCCAGTCCCAGGCTGGGCTCTGGTTCATCTCAGCGGCACCCGCTGCCTCATTAAGCCTCCTCGTAAACAGGGGCAGCCGGCAGGGGCGGAGGAGGGGGCTGCTCTGGGCCACGTCTGGCTTCAGGGCTTTTTTGGTCCCTGTTCCAATCTTCCTTCCGGGAAAACCGGGTCTGAGCTACCTACCTGACAGGCTGTGAGTACATGCACGCATGTGTATGTGTATTCATGTGTGTGAAGATGGGTCTAAGTAGAGCAGGAAGCCCCTCCAATAACCTCCCCCCCCCCACCCTTATCTGTGGCCCTGAGGCGGAGACAATGGTAAAGGTCAGGGTCAGGGTGAAAGTCATTTAGGGCCCAGACCTGGGCTCACTCAGTCCTACTCCCAGCCCTGGAAGATCAGTGGACCCCACAGACTCTCCTCCCCTGGAGTTGGGGCCTAGTTCCTCCTCTGGTCCCCTATACCCTTTTGTCCTCCAAAGACCCCCTCTGGCTGAGTAGAGAGGGAGAGAGCTATGGAGAGCAGATCAAATTACCACCTCATTGGTGGGCTTATGGTGGGCACCACACACCTCTAGAAAGGTGGCCCAGGAGCCCAGTGCTTTCCTGGCAGCCACATCTAGGCTTAGGCCCTTCTTGCTAGGTTGTCACTGATCCCTTAATCCACACCCTTAAGAGAATGGCTCCTCAATTGGCAGGAATTCTCTAGTAGCTGGCATCTGCCTAGCCTCAGAGTCCTCCAACCAGTCGGCCGTAGCACATGTCAGACACGCCCTCCAGCCTCCCTGCTGAATTAGGGCCAGAGCAGAAGATGCAGGGAACCCATACTGGGTCCCAGTACTTGCCTCACCTTGTCCAAGCTGAGACAGCCCCTGCCGAGACAGCCCCTGCCACACCTCATGGTGCCCATTCTTGTCAATCCTGGCCTGCAGCTCTCATTTCCCCCTGAAAATCCAAGTGATGTTTTTCTCTGCTCTCCCCTCTGTACCACTTCCTGATCATACACCTGCTTCTCTCCAACATAAAGGATTAGGGAGAGTAGATTCTATTCAGAGCAAAATTCAAGTTCAAAAGAGCCATAAATTGAGCCAACTCCAATGTCAATGAGATATGGAACAGGGCAAGCATGTGCCACGGGTCATACATGTTCTTAGCACAGAGTCCACGTATTTTGCTCTACACGTCAGTGTGGGGCTCAGTTCTGCAGTGCATGGTCTTGGCATGTTAGTCACATGCATGTGTGCAGCACGGTTCCTGCTGGGGACCACGTGTATGTGTGCATGTTCCTGTGTGTATGGCGGGCGGTATGCCAGGTCCACCGTGAGGCGTGTGCACTGCGATACGCGGTGCTGCTGCCTGCAGCTCGTTAGCAGGGGAGGGGGGCTTGTGAAACTAGACCCTGGTTATTAGCGATGCATTAGGCGCGGGCAGCTGGCCAGGCAGGAGGGACTCCGGATTCTGTCAGAGAACATGTGAGCAGCCTTTATGGGGGCCAGGCCTACAACCCGGACAGGCACCCTGGAATCACATTACACACTTTAAAGGCTAGCTGGAAGGGGGGCATGAGGACGTGGGTTGACCCCTGGGTGCCAGTCTGGGCTAGCCTGTGGCGCACCCTCGAAGCCCCAGTCCTAGCCCACAGACCTCATGGGCCAGAAAGAGTGCCTACAACCCTATGGGCCCAGGGCTGTCAAAGGAGAGAAAACATTAAGTCAGCCCCAAATGCCTGGCTGCTCCTCAGAGCAACTGTAGTTTGATCAACATCGCAGACCACACCCTGACCCCATACCAGCCCTTATCCACTGCTTCGTTCCCAGACTAGGCTACCTTCCGACCTGTAACCTTGAGCGGACCCCTAAGCCCCACCTGACTTTGGAGCCCTGACACTCATCATGGCCTGAACTCATACCCTGGAACAAGTCTGCCACCACTGCCTGATTCTGACCCCTTGAGCCGTTGAGACTGTAAGTCCTTGAGGACCAGGATGTCCTGCCCCTTGGGGCCAGCACAGGCCCGCAGCCTGGGCCAGAGTCTAAGAGGGAGATGCCTGATCAGGGCTAAGAGCCAGAGTGAAGGAAAGGGAAATCTTACCTGCCCTGCTTGCCATCTCCCTTCCAGGATTTCTCCCCATTACCCCGGGCCACAAAAACAGATGTGTTCCCATCACACTAATGGAGGCCACTGGGAACCCTTTAGGGCCTCCGATCAGGATACCCTCCTCAGCCCCATCCATCCTTCCAAGCCCATCTGATCCCCTCTCCCTGAGGAAAGAAAGCCTCTCTGACTGCCCCCAGGCTTCACACTGGAACAGCGACCAGCTGATATGGGTGATATGGATACCTCCCACGCCACGAGGCTCTGATTCGGGCACTTGGGATCCGGGCAGGGCAGGGCACTCACATGCTGCCACTGGTCCAGGATGAGGGGTCGGTAGCGCAGAAAGAACTTGAGAGGAAAGGATTCAGGGTCGGGCCAGGTCGAAGGGGTCTGCCAAGTCACCTCTAGCCGGCGAGGGTTGCTGGGTACTGGTCGGGCTACCACATTTTCTGGAGGGTCAGGCTTCACTGTTAAGGAGACACAGCTTCATTACCTCACTAATCTCTGGGAACGACCCCACTATGTCAACCCCAGTCACCATGTCCACCATCTCGTATCACCAGCCATTGTCCTAGTTGTCCCGGTGGCCACCCCTCTTCTCTGCTGTCAATTCTGGCAACTACCATTAACAACCGTCTCATTATTTCCACCTCTCACATCCCTGTCACCACCAAGCACTGTCACTACAGTCACTGTCACCAGCTCATGATAGCGATATCCCAAATTTCATCCCATCATCCCAACCCCATGCTCATAATGACCAGCATCCCAATTACCAAGTCTATATGATGGCTCCACCATTACCAGCATTACCTCCCCTGTCCCCGGGATCACCCCCTCCTGCACCAGCATCATATACTCCCCTCAAGCTTGGCTTTTCACCTCAATTCTTCCAGTTCCAAACTGAGATACACTCTCCCCTGGAGGAGTCTGGGTTTGAAGCTGCTCTGTGGGTCAAGGTTAAAAGATAGTCCACAGGTATGGCAGTTCTGGGTTGGAGGGAGGCTGGGGACATGATGGGAGTCTAAGGGCCCAGCTCATGTAGAAACAGTCTGGGGGTCTCAGCCATGGTATGGAGGGCAAGCAGAGGGTCTGGCTGGGATGGGGTAAGAGCAGGCAAGGGGTCTGGCTGGGATGGGGTAAGAGCAGGCAAGGGGTCTGGCTGGGATGGGGT